TGTTTTGTTTTTTGCTTGTGAAAGAAGTGTCTTGCTCTCCAATGCTGCATTTATTTTATAAAAAAGAGAAGAAAAAAAAGAGTAATATTGTGAAATATTATTAGTTTATTCCTGTGATGCAAAGCTGAATTTTCAGCATCAATATTCCAGTCTTCAGTGTCACATGATCCTTCATAAATCATTGTAATATGCTGGTGTGCTGCTCAATTAGTAATAATGGTTCACTTTATTATTTATTATTGTTTAAAACAGTTTGGGCTGCCTAATATTGTTGTGGACACGTTTATTTAGGATGAACAGAATTAATTAGAAATAGAAATCTTTTCTTACATTTTAAATTTCTGTTGCAACACAACTGTTCTCAGCATTGATCATAATAAATAAATGTTTCTTGAGTATCAAATCGGCATATTAGAATGATTTATGAAGGATAATGTGACACTGAAGACGAGTATCACAAGGATAAAATATATTTTATAATAGTCTATATATATATGAAGAGTTCAGATGCAAAAGCCTCTAAATGCCATTTGAAATTTTCTTCTTTAATGATGATTTTTATCAAACTTCTATATTTAAGTTCAGTAATTTCACGTAAATAACAATTAATAGGTAATTATCATTGCCATTTAAGTGAAATTACTGAACTTAAATATACAAGCTTGATAAAAAAATATCATTCTAGAAGAAAATTTCAAATGGCACTTAGAGGCTTTTGCATCTGAACTCTTCATATATATATTTTTTAAATCTAATAACATTTCAGTATTTTTTGATAAAATAAAGACAGCTTAGACACTTCTTTCAAAAAACATTAAAAAATCTAGTAGCCTATATAAAAAATATCATTTTTAAATCAAATGTTGATAGTAACTTGTATAGTTACACTGATCTACATGCTCAGAATCGATTTAGATAGCAGTGTGCCGAACTCAAAGGTGTTTAATTGCTTCCCTCCAACACGATGAATACACACAAGTGTGTAATTTCAGAGCAGAACTGAGACGGTTACTGAGATTAACTGTGCCGTTAGTTCCAAGTGCACTGAGATCCGTTTAGGCTTATAAGCATTAAATAACAGTCATCAGAGAAAACCAGGGCAATACTACTAAACGAAAAGCAATTGAAACCAACATATCGAAGTGAATTTGGCCTGCTATGATGAGGCTATATCAGCCGAGTGGTCAATTTTTATGCCAGAGGAGGTCAGCCGCAACACATTTGCAGATGGACGTTACATAAATCATATAAATGTGGATGTGTAATTGCAGGGCTGGTTTAATTCTGGTGTAAGAATAATTCCATGATGTTTAAAAGCTTGAAATAAACATTTCCAGCTAATAACGGCTTGACGTTATCTCTTCCATTCTTTCTCTCTCATCTTTAACGTCCCCAGTGAAAATTAATTTACAGTCTAATTACAGAACACGGCAAGCGTAGAAGGGACACAAATCAGCCGTCATTAACAAATGACAGAAAACTGCCATTTTGTAATTTAAGTATAGATCCGAATCAATATTTAGAAGTCCCAGCAGGTTAAAGAGCGAGTACTGGGATCTTCTTTGTTAATTATACAGAACATTATCTCAAAGAAATAAAAACGCATGATTTCATTGTGCATATAGCCAATAGTTGATATAATGCAATTTAGAAAATATCAAAGATTGGTCACAACCAGATCATAGCCAAATGTACCACAAATCTTAATGAAAGCATTCAAGTGAATATTTATGATTTAGATGCCCAGATTTTTATAATTAGAATGTCCTTAAGGGATGTAATATTTCATTACCGAACCTCGTCGTGCAGTGCCCTGTAAATAATACATACAAAGTAATGTAATGATTTGCTCAAAGCTAATTTAAAAAAAGCCCATGAATCAGTTCATAGAGCAATACACACTGACATTTACTCTGGGCTCATTCAGCTCCCTGCCTCCAAAAGCTAGAACGCCAGAATCGGGCGTTCATGGAGAGCTTTGCTATTAAACGCAGCTCTAATAGGCTTTCTCGCCACGCTGTATCTTCTTCTTCCAACCGGATAGCAAACCTCACACTGTCTATGTCGTCCCCTGCCCCACCCTATCTCAGCTTTTACCTCCGGCCTGTTAAAAATGATATCAGCTCGTGGAGGGCGAGCATTAGCATTTGCATTTTATTGGAGGCATGGAGATTTAGAGCAGTGGATACATCAGCTCTGAGCAGACAGAATTAGTTAACAATGCATTATCTGCCTTTTATGGCGGCCATAATTCTCTCACTCCCCCGGCTCGGGGAAGAGATGGGGGTGGAGGAGGACTGCTCGCTCCAGGGTGGGGGCTGCTGGGGAGAGGCTGGGCTTTGTTTCTCCAAGCTTTGCTGCGCTTAAAGCGCAACTAAGGCCCAAAGAGCATCGCTGCGGCCATCGAGTTGCACCGCTCGAACAACAACCCAACAGAGGGGCGATAAGTGTCTCGAAAGGTCACGGCTAATGGCGTGACCTTGCGTTCTTAATGATGCCGCACATAATACTGCACTACAATTCAGCAGAATCACGGTGTAATGGCGCTTTTGTGTGCATTTAGGTTTTGAAAGGGATTCGAAAAAGGTCTGATATCGTACTTCTGAGGCCTACAGGACTCTGCTCACCGAGCGACGGCGCTCGAGTGCACTTTGTGTGTGCGTTTAGGCGGTTTGGATGCTGCGGACTTCCCCTCCCAAACTCCAGCCCTCGGTCACAGCTGTTCAGTGGTCCCCTTGACAGCCATCTATTTGAGCTTATGTGCAGCGAAAACCCATCGGACCACATGCATCCCAGAAATCTTGCACACAGACTCTATTCGCTGCTTGCAGACTTTTTTTTGCTTCAAAGCGTGCACTCTTTCCTTATGGGTAAAAATGGCGCTCATGCAAGCCTCAACGTCCTGCACGTTGGGTTAGTTTACCAAAAATGAAGAATTTGACAATTTACTCACCCTCATGTTGTTCCAAAGTCATGTATGACTTACTTTCTTCAAAAATAGCTTTGTTTCACAAGAGGTTTGATTACACTAGGCCATATAGGCTCTTTATGGCATATGGTTCCATTAAGAACCTTTAAAATCAATGGAAATTTTCCATTTTACAACATTTTTTTCGTTGTTGTTCTTTTGGTTTTGTTTTCTGTTGTTATTTTTGGTGAACTATCCATTTAAACTCACTCAAAAAATTTTCTATTTCCAGCATCGAGGCCTGTTCACAGGAGGCTACTGACGTATGACGATGACGTAAAAAAAACTTTACATTTTAAATTTAAAAGAATATAAAGTCAGTCAACATCACAACTATTATACGATATAATGACCTACATCACAAATATAATGATGAACGATATCGTTATAATCACTTTCAGAACGATTTTTCCCCGCTGATGATGAACGATAAAAATATTGACAGGCAGCCAATCAGAATCCATTCTGCTGTAAAGAGCTCGAGCTCTTAAAGCAACAGATCACGAAAGTGCAGCACGCACGCGCTTGCAATAAATATGACTTTATCGTGCGTTGGTGTGGACGATAATATGTCGTTGGAGTTATCGTCCTTTTAAGTGTATTTTGTAAATGTGACTTTATTCTAAACTTCTCCTTTCCTGATCGACATTCCTTGAGTCCTGGTAGAGCAGTGCGAGTGTGACAGGCTCAGCTCTCCAGTGCTCCATAAAGCATATATGCAACCTCTCAGTTATCTGATGAGACTTCTGCTCCCCGGGGCTGAAAATTTACTAGTGACCTCTGCATTCCTTTTCAGAGCTGAACCGCTTCCCCTTTTCCCCTTTGGAAAATTCCACTGCCACTGAGGTAGTCGAGAAAGCGGCATTAAAGGGAGGGGTTCCGGCTCAGACGCTGAACTGTGTGGAGCTGAGGCCTTGAAGGAGCTACAAGTCACATTCACAATAATCCAAATGTCTCAAAGACGGAATACATAAGGAAAAGGCTGAAGTGGAAGTATGTTGTGGGTGAAATCTGCAGGGCAGTGGCCTGTGCAACAGCATAGTCATCTGAGAGATATGGAAAACTGTAGACTAAGGCATTCAAACACGGGGAAGTTCTATTTAACAGTGAATATTAATGAAATCCGCATTAAACTGCTTCAAGACTAGATCAAAATAGAGAAAAGTAGATATAGGAGCTCTCAAATCAGTGAGCAATGCATTGTGAGTTATATATGAATATACCATTTATAAGCCAAATATTTTACTTTGAATTAAGATTTTTTTTTAAATAGCAAATGATAAAATGTACTCTGATCAAAAAAATAAAGGGAACACTTAAACAACAATGTAAAGAAAAAAGTATTTAATAAGATTATTTCATTCATTCAGATCTATGATGTGTTATTTTAGTGTTCCCTTTATTTTTTGAGCAGTATATATTTCTTTTACATTGCTTGCTGTGAAGTATTCTATTAGTAGAAACCATAGAGAAAGAAACAAACAGGCAATAGTTGCTCCATTATGACATCTGCTGGTACACATCAGTACTGCTTTTCAGGTCAAACTTATCACTGCACTGCAATTGCAACTGTACTAAATGGGATTTTGCACATCTCAATTTAAAGATTGTTTCAAATGTGTTTTTTCTAACATTGTATAGAGCGAAACTGGCAAACTTTATTTAGCATGGCTGGAGTCAAAAAAGCCAGGGTTGAGGGTTTCCAAAAACATTAAACTGTTAGTGTTAAATATTTGATTCACTACAATTTGGTACAGGACATTAAAAAAAGGCTGTGCACATAACATAGCAAGACATCTATTACTGGACATTTTAAAATCAACTGCTAAAACTGAGTCATCTGTGGAAATAATCCTTTTGCAACACAACAAAAACGTTTTTTAAATTGTAACTAAACCTTTCCCACTCTTCTACTGCCAGTGGACTATGTCCTTGGGTTTCAAACAAGACTTTTCCTGTTGTAAATGAAAAGTAGCTTTGTTCAACTATGCTCTGTGAAAATAAAAAAGCACTACAGAGCACACAACGCCAGTGTAGTCACGTGACCTTGATAAACAATTTTATTGAGTCAACTCTAGGTTAAAAAAGTAATAAGAACCAGACATATGCTTAACCTACCACGTGAAAGAGGACAGCTCTGAGTTCTTGAGGTCAAACAGGGAATGTGTTCACCAAAATCAGCCACAAGAGGGAGCATGTCAGTTAAACTTTTGAATGAATATCAAGGAAAAATTGTGGAAACCAATTAAAAAATGTCCAATTTCACACTCAGGTGATGACGATTGTCTGCCCTCCTACAAGCAAGAGTGATGGTTTAAAGATTAAGAATGGTTAAAAAGGGCCAATTTGACGCTAGAAAAGTTATTCATTTTTAGAGGGATAGTTAAAAAAAAATGGATGCCAATAATTTTCATAATTTGAATCAGGGAGTTATCATACGGTAAAGTTCTGTTGTGTGGCTTTACTGACAATTAGAAGCAAAAACAAAACAAAAACAAAGTCAATCAGTTCAATTCAGTTAAAACTGTGATACAGCAAAATTCATTCTACCTGATTGGAAAAACCCTTTATCCAGAGTTATAGATGAATGCTGAATCTCAACCGCTTTTTTTTTTTTTTTTTCAGTCATGTCAGCAATACTACGAAATCAACTGAGAATATAGGTTGTCATGTAAGGGTTTTCATGGTTTCACATCTACACTAGCACACAATACATCATAAGAACATAGTTGTAGGGGCACAAATACACAAATAATGACAAAAAAAGAAGGAAGATCATAGAGAGTAAGAGAAAAGAGATCACATTCCACGGCTCTCCGTTGCAGCCACAGTTCACCATGGCCTTTCGGTTTGTCTGGTGTTGAGTGATGCGGTTTCATGAAGGGTGGGCAGAGGTTTTGAAGGTGGGCAGTAACCTCCATTACTCGCTGGCTGTTTCTTTTTCTAAATGGTCCGTTAAAAGTTGGCTATGAGAGTGTCACCAGTGCGACAAAGAGCACAAGGTTTGGAGGACTGTGTCTTTCCTCCGCCTTATGCCATTTAAACAGCCGTGGCACTCTTTTCCTTCTTATCGCCATCTTCGTGCCAAGTCAGACGCTCCTCATAGAAGGCAATGACGATCTGTGGGCACTTGTGATTGGCTTCCTTTGCAAGCACAAGGTCTGCCTCATCAGAGTCCTTCCTGTGGTGGGAAATTAGTGGAACTTGCATTAATTGGACAATTGCACAATGATATACATCATCCTGCACTGAATACACTCTAATTCTAATAAAAAAGAAATACACTTGTTTGATAAAGCTTCTTGCACCAAGTTCATTTAGGAGAGCTTAAACATAATTTAACACCCATTTATGACATCCAGATACTAGAGCAGATAGTTATTTTGTTTTCATTTCATATCTTCAATACATTACGATACTAACGCACTACAGTAAAGATATTATCAATTCATCAACAGTGGTTCATAAGAGTTTGATTGGCATAGATGTTTATTAAAACCCTAGCTTGTTTGAAGTTTAATAATCACATTAGTCTGCATCACAATTCCAGTTTCTGTCCCAAATTGTAAGACTCCCTTTAACCCACTTAAGATAATTAAGACATTTTAAGGCCTTAAATTCAATCAAACTGAATTTAGACTTTTTAAGGACCCACAGAAACCCTGAAAATATATTCAGGATTATATATGAAGCTATGCATCATAGTGTTGCACGATATACCGGTTCTACAAAGGTATTGTGATACCTTGCTATTAAAAAGGGTATGAACTTTTATTAGCACCGGTACTTTAAAAGTGACAGCACTCTAAATAATAAGAGCAGTATTTCTTAATCTGCGTTGCTGTGTGACAGCAGGAGTCAGGATGTGTGTGCAGAGTCTACTTCCACTGTTTACATGCACTAAACAGCGGAAACAGAACAGTAAAATATATATGCGCAGCGCCTGACAAAGAAACACACATGCGTGAGAATATAAAACGTGGGACGTGCTTTGGCTATTGTTTGTGTAACTTCTGTAGTCCGTTAAAATGTGATCATTTGTCATGTATGGCAAGTTTAATATAGCCTTTACAGTTAAGTGTACCAGTCAGGGACTCACAAGTCAAAAATAAATCAACGCTGAGTGGAGACTACAATGATCGGTTTCAAACGCACAGGTGTAAATGAGTGTAAAATTCAGACAAAAGAAAATCGGTTCTTCAGTCTCACACAGGCCAGGAGTGTGAATGCGAGCAAAGTTCAGACAAAGAAACGATAACGGGGCAGTTGCATGAAATCAGACATAATCCCAGGTGTAAATGAGGCCATTGAAACTATTGTCCTAACATCCATCTCGGGTAATCCAATCACAATTGGTCAGTCGAGAGACATCCCTGTCATTAACATACATATCGGGATCACTTGTGATTAGACTTAAATCAAATTTAAATGACAAATACATAGCAGTTCTAAATTTTAACTGGGGTTTTCCTGTGTTGAAAATATTTGGTGGCCGCCTAATGAATCCTTGTTTAATTTATTTTTATCTTTTAATATGAAGATACCTGGCTTTCTGCAGTACCGGTACCCGCTGATAGCCGACTGCTTTAAAATGTGTTCTGGCAGCATTGAGATGCAACCAATCACAGACTTATCTGTCGAGCATGTGAAAGTTATGGCCAATCAGATTAGTCAGAATCCTTTTTTTTTTTGACAGAATATGGTCAGATTTTTTCACTGAAATAAATTGCTCACCACTTCATAAGGAACATAAGGTCTCCACAAGAGTCTGTTGCTCCAATAATCTTCTCAGGCTCCAGGCCTCGCTCAAATCCTCTTGCTACAAGAATCTCATCCTAAGAAGAACAAAGACTAAGATCAAAATCCAAAACAGAAATATCATTAACACCACCACCACATTAAATACACTGCCCACCACAACAATGCCACTTAAGTAAGACATGATTTAAGAAATATATTTTAGAATTAATTTGGATATATTTGCATCATTGAGATGGATATTGCATGGTAATTACATGCAAATGAAGTTTGAGTAAGGGCTGAACTTTTGATAAGCCTGTACCTCCTTTTTCTTTTTGGGTTTACTGCCACTCCCGTTCTCTTCCTCCGAGTTTTTCCTCTTGCTTGTGCTGCTGCTGCCGCTACTGTCTTTGGGACGGGCCGAAGAAGAGCCTGTGCTGGAGGGCTTGCTGCTGGGTGGGCTTCCACTGCTTCCCTTTTTATAGGTTTTCATGAACTCTGAGATTAGCTCTGGACAATCCAGATTCTTCTCTGGTTCCCACGTGTTGTGTTTGCTGCAAGACAATGCATGATCAATGATGAATCAAGAACATTGTATTTCCTCATATTATTTGTGCACGAGATATACTAACAGGAAGTTTGCACACTATTAAAATCGCCAAGAATTGAGTGATCTTCAAAGTAATTTCTTAAATGGCTTGGTTTAGAATTTAGACAGGCCCATTGCATCTCAGTGTAAAAATTGCTTGTGTTTCATTGTCATTTCATGCATTTGAAGACTTTTACATGCAGCAACACCCTACATGTTCCTAAAATGCATATTCTATTCTACAATGCACATATTTACATATTCATCTAAATGGCATTCTCAACAGTGTGGGCGTCAGGATGCTCACTAACAGTATATCACATACCACATATTTCAAACCATAGGTGAAGATTAATAATAAAAAAAATAACTTCGCAGCGAGTGCATCAGGGCCTTTAGATTATTGTAAAGGGCAATGCTGACTTACTCCGTAAAGCCTTTCCACTTGAGGAAATATTCTACACGGCCCTTCACAACTCTCCTGTCCAAGACCTTCTCCACCATGTACTCTTCCTCATCTGAGGAAGCAGCCTCATCATCTTCACGGTTCTGGTTCTTCTTTCCCATGGCTGATTCGGTCTTCCTCTGAGCTAATGTGACCTCTGTGGCTCCCTGGTCTGGGGAGGAAAATGGTCAACTGAAAAAGAAACAAACATTAGCATGTAAATGCTAGTTACCATATAAAATTACACAGAATAAAACTCTGCAGGGTGCTCATTTTTGACTGTTAAGGTGCATATCCACCGCAGATTTTGATCAAAACAAACACTTGATAGTGCCATCAAGGCTCTAGAAAAGTTTTTCTATTGCACCGTTGTTTTCTTATCTTTAATTGTACTCTAGCTTGTCATTTATATTATGGCAATTTATATTTTATTAGTTTATTTTAAAAATTGCCAAAGAACACAGAAAAATGTTTACTTAAGAAATCAGTTAGCAATAGTTTCTGCTGAGGTATTGAGACTCATAAGATTTCATAGGTGCAAGTAAGTACCGACTATTAAGGGTGTCACTTTTTTATTTTAAATGGAAATCGAATGAACTAATCGCCAATGCTGGCGTGCCAAGCGGAAAAAAAAACACGTGTTGAAGTGCTGCAGGTCAACCCCCTCTAAATTAGCTACAGCCAGTCAAAAAATAGCATGGCAACTGCAGATTGAACTGATAGACTTGAACTGTCAACTCTTTCATTGAAGTCATCGGTGTTTAAGTATTTTGGATTTCCAGTGAGTTATGTTGACAAAGTTCACATTTCAAAAAAGCCACAGTTTGCAAGCTCTGCTATGTGCCTGTACCATATTCTTCCACTGGCAGCACAAGTAACCTGGCAGGGCATCTACACAGGCACTACAAAAACATAGATTTATCTGTTAAACCAATAACTGTTTGTTTGATGAACTTGAATGCAGTTACACAAGAGACAAACTGCAGTTACAAAAGAGAACGTTTCCAAATGACTAAAGATATAAGTTATTATATTATAAGCACTTTGTTGTTGATGTTTTAAATTTGACAGTGTAGTGAGGTACATTGCGAACAAAAGGTCAGATACTACATTGCATTAAAGTCTAAAATGGCATAGCAAACTGTGCTCTAAAAAATACAAGTAAAAATTTAGAATCGAAATAATCTAAAATTACTCATAAAATGATAATAGAGAGCGGCAGAATTCTCAAAATCTTAAGAGTTAAGGTTAAACTTTCGATAACTTGACAGCAATATCAGTATCTGTTTTTCTGCACTCACCTACAGTCCTCTATTGTAAGGCGTGACCTCTTAAAATGCAGAGATGATTCTTGATCACAGCATCCAGGGATCCCTTGAGCAAATAAAGTTAATTGAAACATATTTGCATTTAAATATTAAAAAAAAAATGTATATAAAGACATTAAGAAACTTTAATCTTAAAGTGAAACACACCCACTGCTCTTATAACAAAAACCTTCTACAGACCATTTTAGAAATATACAAAAGCTTTTTATTTGAGGAGCTACAAAATAATTTCAGGCTTAAATGCATAGTCAAATAAATAAACTGCAAAAGATGTTTAGCAAACAATGATTAATCAATTAAAAGGCAAAAAATATTGGTGCATAATGTCCGAACACTCTATATTAGACTAAGCAATTATATAGGTGGATTGGGATGCATATGTTCCCATATTCATTTACCAAGACACATGTTTAACCAACCTTGCAATAAAATTGTGATAAACCAGCCAGGTGTTCTTATCTCAATGTTATGAAGGATCTTAGCGAGCAAGGCCAAACTATGTGAAATACTGAGCAACCCTACACAGCTTTCACGTTTTCATACGTTCACATATCGTCATATGCTAATTTCCTATGCATTTATTCCTAAACACATAAACAACATCGGGTTTAAATGTAACGTTAGTGCTAGCTGCATTGCTAACGTTTGGCTACAGAAGTCTAAATGACTATAGTTTGCCTCACTATAAGCTAATTTTACAAGAGCAACAAAACAAACAGATAATACAATATGCTTGCTAAATAATTCCGTGGTGTTGTGTTTGTGTAACGTACAAACAACTATAAGCTAACGTTAGTTCAACGAGCCAATGCCTGCCATAACAAAAAACAAGGTTCACCGAAACCCATATGCGCACATGATAGCACTAGCAGGCTAATTTAGCTCAATTAGCATACAGGCTCTTATTCTTTATTTGACTCTCGTCGTCTAACCGATGTAAGCAAAGCATTCACGCGCTTTTTCGCATTTATTTGAATGTTACCGTCGTGCGCGCTATACGGCGTGATCCTTTGCTTAGCAACAGCGCGGGCCGAGCTGAAGAGATTTCACCTGATCTTATCATGTTTAAACGAAACAACGGCGGCGCAAATCTTTTACAGTGCGAGGAGAAGCTACAATGACATATAATGCCGTTAATGGAGATAATTATTTGATACTTACTGAGGTATTTTTCGACGTTTCTCTATTCGTTTTGGATAATGAGGCTGAGGCGGCGGCGGCTTCTTCCCTGCACACAGGAGTTTGCTGCCTTTCGCGCATGCATCCGTCCAGTGGCGAGTCTAGCCAATCAGCATGCGCCTGAGCGAGTCGCTCTCGCGCCAAAAACAGCCTCGCGCTTATACAATGGGATGCGCACGCGCCACATAACTATTAAAACCACAGGTTTTGGTTAATATTTCTGATCTTTTAAAATTATATTTAATTATTTTGTTTTAGAAAAAATACATATTTTCAATGAGAGGCATGAGTGTCTTAGTTTACATAATAAGTGATATCGAAGCTATATTAATGAAATGATAACTTATTAATTAATGCAATTATTAAGCCCCTCTTATATTCAATAATACGTTTATTGAAATAAAAAAGCGTACAGGTTTTGTTTTTCGAATTTTTAGAAAGATGACGATCAAACGCACTAACCTCTGCTCTCGGGATTGACTTGAGTCTCAGCCAATCAGACGTCCCCAAAAGGCAAAACAAAAGCATTAGCGGGAACAGTAAACCAATCATCGTCTAAAGTAGGAGGAGACTGTTTTCACCCAAGCTATTTATGGTATCTCCCCCATTTCTCAGTGTGTGTGTCTCACCGACAGGCGTGTGGCGCAGCACAAACAGTCGGTAGGATGTCTAAAGAGGTATGTTGACTTTATTATATTTTAGGAGCCTATTGCCTGTTATAAGCAATGCATGTTTTTTTTGTCTGCGTTTTGTCGAATTTAACTTTGACTTTATTCGTTGTTCTTTGTTATTTGCAAAGAGCGTGTTCGAGCCGCCATTTTAACTCTTGTAGAATGCAGACATGAGGCCGCATGATTGCATCGTAGGTTGTGTTCCCGAAAATAATTATTTCTTTGTTTTTTAACTTCATTCGCCGTATCTATAATGATCAACATTTATTTATTACCACCACTGTTTGGCTGAAATCGAGAGACTGCTACAAATAGGCCGCATGGTCCGGCACCAACATGGCGGAGGTCTTCGTTCACCTCGCTTTTATGTTAGCATTACCTCAAGGTCTCATGAGTCACGACGCTTCGCGCTCGAAAGTATTAATAGTCTGATATCTGGTGCAGAAAATGGACTTGGTGCACAGCTTTAGTGTGTACTTACTTGGCTATTGCATGGATTTGTCCTTTCAGGGCCAACCACGTGAGCCAGAGCAGCTGCGGAAGCTCTTCATTGGAGGGCTCAGCTTTGAAACCACAGATGATAGTTTGCGGGCACATTTTGAACAATGGGGAACCCTAACAGATTGTGTGGTAAGTCCCTATCTATTTAATACATTTTTCTTATTTAAGGGTATGATAAAGGGCAAGCTTTTGAACTATATGTTTTTCTTAGGTGATGAAAGATCCAAACACCAAACGATCCAGGGGCTTTGGGTTTGTCACCTATTCTAGTGTAACTGAAGTCGATGCTGCTATGGATGCACGCCCCCACAAGGTCGATGGTCGGCTCGTAGAGCCCAAACGGGCTGTGTCTCGTGAGGTGAGAACTTGAGTAATGTAAAAGCTTTCCTAAAGAGATGTACGGATGCAAATGCCTAAATGCATATTTGTTTCAGGACTCCAACAAGCCATTTGCTCACACAACTGTGAAAAAGATTTTTGTGGGTGGGATTAAGGATGACACCGAGGAGAACCATCTTCGTGACTATTTCGATGTGTTTGGAAAGATTGAAGTCGTTGAGATAATGGTTGACCACAAGACCGGAAACAAAAGGGGCTTTGCCTTCGTTACGTTTGATGACCATGATGCTGTTGATCGTATTGTCAGTAAGTGCTTTCATTTCGGTGTCAACTTTAACTTCTTAATATTGGATTGTTCAAAAAAAAAATAACCCTGGAATGTTTCCCCCATTAGTTCAAAAATACCACACTGTAAATGGCCACAACTGTGAAGTCAGAAAAGCTCTTTCTAAACAAGAAATGGCGAACACTGGCATGAACATGAGAGGTAAGTTTGTTCAGGGTTGTCTCCTAGATCTCTTAATACACTTGGCTATATTCATTTATTTTAAATAAATCTTTAGGCCGAGGTGGTGGTGGCGGCGGCGGTGGCGGCGGCAACAACGGAGGTGGAAACTTCAACAGATATGGCAATAATGGTGGCTACAACAATGACTTTGGAGGCGGTGGTGGGGGCGGTGGCAACCGCGATGGATACTTCGGAAGAGGTACGTGTCAAAGAGGACATTTTAAAGTGTTCTTAATCGTCTATTTGAATTTTATAGTGACCTAACAGCCTTTTTCACAATCCTGTTGCAGGAGGTCGAGGAGGTAATGGTGGAGGTGGTGGTTATGGAGGGGACTGCTACAACAATGGCTTTGGTGGAGATGGTATGCATTTTTTTTTTATTATTTAACTGATTGTAAATGTTAACTTATTCTCATTTATTCAAATAATTTTTGCAAAAATGTGTTGCATCTGAATACCACAAACAAATCAGCAGACTAAAAAACAAGGACATTTTGCCAATGGTTTTAACAAACATCGGAGCAAAAAACGACTAGCTACACTTCCAGCATTAAAGACCAGAGACCACTTCGTAACTGAACACAAACAAATTGGCAATGGCACAAATGCAACAGATAGATAGAACAGTTTTAAAGGGGGAGGTGTAATGCACTTTTCATGAGATGTAAGAAGTCTCTGTCCCCAGAGTGTGTATGTGAAGACTGCTTTGGTTGTGAGAACTTTGTGCAAGATTGAATGGTTTAAAATTTAAAGTACACTGGAATAAATTTAGCAATTCCTGTGACTTCCTGCAGGTGGTTATGGAGGTGGTGGAGGTGGCGGCGGCAGCGGACCTGGTAACTATGGTGGAAATCGTGGATATGGAGGAGGTGGAGGAGGACAAGGTTATGGCAACCAGGGCGGCGGAGGTTATGGTGGTGGTGGAAACAGTGGTGGTGGATATAATGACAATTACAACAATGGCAATGGAAACTTTGGAGGTGGTGAGTACATATAAATGTTCAATATAAACCTACTTGCAAATGCCTGAATTGTCCATTAACAGTGTTCGACTTGTATGTTCATAGGCAACTTTGGTGGCGGCGGCGGTGGTGGTGGCGGCGGCGGCAGTGGAGGCGGTAACTACAGTGACTTCGGCAGCTATAACAACCAGCAGTCCAATTATGGTCCCATGAAAGGGAACTTTGGAGGTGGTGGTAGCAGCGGAGGAGGGAGGAACAGTGGCCCATATGGTGGTGAGCTCTTTATAATGGCCTTCTACACATTTAGGTTCAAATCTCCTTATATAAACAACTTAATCCTAAAATGCATTATGTCTGTTCCAGGTGGCTATGGAGGTGGATCTGGTGGTGGTGGTGGTGGATATGGTGGTGGCTCTGGGGGTAGACGGTTTTAAACTCAGAAAAGGTTAGTTTCAAGTTCTGCTGTCTACCTTAAATAGACTTACTTTATGTACAGGGTAATAATGCCTATATGTTAGTCTTGGACTGAATGCTCTTCATTAAACTGTAACCTTGCTGTACATCTGGTGTAGAAACAACCCTCAGTTAGTGTGCAGCTTAACAATTGTTGTTCATATTGTTCAACAGGACTGAGTGCTTTAGGAGAGGACAGCAAGAGAAGTGACAGGGCAGATGCAGGTTTACATCCCTAGATCTGCTCAGCCAAACAGGTTTGGCAGATTTACAGCTGCCACCAGAAGAAGTGTACAGTAGTGCTATCGTGTGTGGGACATCATGAATTTGTCATCATGCAAACTTATTTTATATTGTCTATTGAGGAAAAAGCATTCCAATGAGGTTTTATGTAGAATTACTTTCAGTCGTTATGGTTTTTATTTTATGTAACCAATCAAGGTGAAATAAAACATAATTTTTGTTTTTTTTAAAAGATGTGCTGTGTTAGTCATTTTTGGTTTCTGGGGGTTTTAGTGTAGTAATCTTGAATTTAATATGTGAGTTTCTAAGAGCCTTTTTAGTAGTAATTCAATTTTAAAGAACCTTCTGGCTCTTAAAATAGAAATTCGTTCTTGTTAAATTGTAAACTGATTCAAAAAGCATTGGCTGTTAAATGCAAATGCTTAGAGTAGTGTACATTTGGTTGCATATCAGTCTAGCCATGGGAGCAAGCTGAGAAAGGAGTAGCAAGATCATCGCCCTGTGAAGAAGCAGAGAGCAGGGAGTACAGGGCGCTACTCAAAGACTAGCAGGCAGCGCTTTTAAAACTCCTGTAGGTAAGAACAGACTTCTCCACTACCGCTGGTAACTAAGAATTTTATTAGATGAAGCTGTACAGTTAATGTGAACTTCCCATTCAGTGTTGTGTATTACAGAGGAAGTTACTGCAGTCAGCATAGTTTGGTGACACTTTAATAAAATTGAAACATTTAATGCATGACTAGTTATTTTTCCACATGTTCCATATTTAACTTGCTAACCATGATATTTTTGCTTTTTCAGGATCTGAATGAATCATCTCTTGAAATGAAGACATGTTTGTCCTTTTAAACTGGTGCTATAATAAAAGGTAGTTGCTTTTGTAATGTAATTTTCATGTTTACAGTCTCTCTGAAACTCACTCTTTTCTCTCTTTCTAGGACAAAGATGCAGCTGCATAGTTTTATTTTTATACCTGTGGTTTTTATACTTTTTACAAATAAAACTTTTAATGCAACAATTGTGACTTGTTCGTCTTGACTCTATTTAATAATTTTATATTTTGGACATGTAATACTGATTCTTCAAAGTTTGACTAATGTTGTATTGTTCACCAAAATTATTGCAGTGTGGTTTAGAGTATACCAAGTAAAAGTAGTCCTTAAAATAAAAATCTTATATTCTCTTTGAAATTCTGTAGAAATGAATGTACATTGAGTAGTTATCATCTGCTCTATATGACAATGGGATTTCTATTTAATAAATTTCCATTCATCACAAGTGATTTGAAGTAATTTAAATTCATTGGCCATACATTTTAGGTTTGTCTAGCCAAGTGCTGATTTAGGCTGGAGACAGTGGCTGTGTGGTGTTTACTGCGTTGTGTTTTTGCACACCAGAAACATGTCTGGCGCTGCTGTAAAATGACAGATAGAGACTACATTTGAATTAGCAGTGTGCTACTCTTACCCTTACGACAACAATTTCAACTTATCACACATCTTCCAAAAAATAGGGAAATGGGCTGTCTATTTCAAAAACGTTTACAAATTTTGTGTTGTGTAAAAGAGCCGATATTTTAGCCTGATGGTGGACCGTCACTCAGAAGGAACTTTGTTGTTAATGTAGCCTATCCTATCTTTATATCCCCAGGACTTTTTTTTTTTTTTTTTTCAAAAGTTTTCTTCATGTAATCACATTTTAAAAGCATAGGAAACAAATAAAAAATATATTCATGTTATGCTATGACCTCTGTAGTGGATACCAGGACTCGATTGTTTATCAAATAAAAATGACATGAAATTATAGGCAAAAATAACGGCAATATTTAAAAATTGATCTTTATTATTATTTGTTTTAATTATATTGATATCTGAATTTGTCACCCTAGACTTTCAAACATCAGATTGTAATTTATATGCGTTCGTGTACTAAAAGACATAAAAACATTGTTTTGTTTTTTTTGCCTGGAAACTTGTGCTGCATTCACGTGCTATGGAAAATAGGATATTTTTCACTTGTGAACTGGTATTTACCAGTGTGTTGTGTTCAGTGTTGGGTGTAACTAATTACTAAGTAATTGGTTACTGTAATTTAATTACTTTTCCCTTGAAAATGTAAAGTAAGGGATTACTCTTAATTTATCTGTAATTTAATTACAGTTCTGATGTAATTGAGGTAAATACTGTGTATACATCAATCCGATCTCACAGCGATTCGTATGCATTTTATGAGGTGTCTAAATATGATGACCACACTTGTACAAATTTGTATGAATTATTGTAAAATATGTATGAAAAAAGTGTGAAATGTCATGAGATCAGACATAAAACAATAGTGGGTTTAACATCAAAATGTATTGTCTGATGTTAAAAAGTATGTTTTTATAATGTAACCTTCTCCACCGTGGTCAGTTTAAGGATAATTCATGCAATTTTATAGTATTTATTTGAAAGAATTGATTGATATGGGATTTTGAAAGTAATTAGTAATTAAATACTTTTTAGAGAGAGTAATTAGTACAGTAATCTAATTACACTGTTAAAGAGGTAATTAGAGTAACTTACCCAACACTGGTTGCGTTCAAGTGCTTTTGTTGTCGTAATGTGGTAAAAAGATGGAGATCCAGACCTGTTATTTAGCTAAAACTATTTTAGATTGCAACAGCAAGAAAATTATTTATCAAAACTCAAAAGGTAAATAATATGCTATATATTTTCTAGATCATTAATAGTATATATATTTTTTACCATTCACGACTCTTGCGGTGCTCTCCGCCTTTTTGAAAAGTTAAAAGGTTATTTTGAAAAGTTCAAAGGTTATCTCATCTCAGCAACTCATCCATCAAAATATTCTACGAGTTGCCCAGTGGAAAATACCACATGAGGGGGTGTTCATGTGCATTTTCCACGTCGGCTTTTGGTATTTGCCATAATTACCATAGCACATGAACGCAGCATTAGGCGTCGTCGGTTCTACGGGTTCTACTTCTATCATGCACGCGTTTTCCGCGCGGCTCATGCAGGCAGTGTGTGCAAGCTCTAATCTGTTAAAGGGTGGTTCACTTTGAAATTAATTTTTGTTGTGTTTTAGCTTACCTCAAGGGCATCCACGATGTAGGTGTCTTTGCTTCCACAGTAGTTTCAATTTTGACATTTTTCGGTCAAAACCGTTGTTGTCGGTCAAGCAGGTATGGGGTCTACGTCAAAGAGCATGCACAGAGAAGTCAAAATTAAACATGATTTAATGATTCGTGAATGTAAGTAAACATTGATGCCCTAAGAACGAAACGAGCGGTTTGTGTGAGAAAACGAACAGTATTTATATAGTTTTTACCTCTTGTTAACAGACGTGAAGTGATCTGAATCAGATGTCCAACTGAACCGTGTCCAACATTACGCCGGAAGTGATATTTCGCGCGTCTACATCACGCATTGTTTACACGGAGATTTCGTTTTACCTTTCACTAAACATATTTAGATATATCGAAATCGTCTTCCATTGCGATTTCCTGTATATCTAAATATGTTTAGTGAAAGGTAAAACTTCCTAAATCTCCGTGTAAACAGAGAATGTCTAATTGAAGAGAACTGCCACTGGCTGATTACTTCCGGTTTCTGGACTGGCTGCAGTAACAAGTCTCAGTCCATGCGGGGGCGCTCACGGTCGAGTGAAGAATAAATGGGAGTCAATGGGGTTTCACCCCCAGAAATCCACTTTTCTCAGAATGTAATTTTTTGTCAAGTAATTTAAAAGTTGCATTCAAAAGGGAGGGCTAAGATAATACACTCAGCTGAAAATTGCATTTTTAAGTTCACTTATCTGTTCTAAAAATCCGTTCAAAAATGTGATGACGTCACACAATAGCAGAATGCTAGCGTGTTCCGGCCAACAACGGCCTAACCTGTAAGAAATCAAAAGGACATAAGTACTCGTTCATTCGACTTTTGGCCTATAATCTATATTGAACTTGCGGAATCAACAATAAAATATATGTTGATTTAACGAATAGCAGGTGAAAGAGACACATTTAGCCGTTTAGCCCCATAGACTCCCATTCATTCTGCGCTCGCCCGCGATCACCTCCAGTGGAATTCTAATGGAACTGCAACCAAGATGATACACAATAGGGCTAATAGGAAGTGCCAAGGCTCTCCGTTAGACGGGCTCTGGTGTAAACAATGCATGACGTAGACGCACAAGAGATCACTTCTGTGACGTTGGACACGGTTCAGTTCGGTTCAGTTGGACATCTGATTCAGATCAGTTCGACATGTCTGTTAACAAGAGGTAAAAACAATATAAATACTGTTCGTTTTGTCACACAAACCGTTCGTTTCGTGTCTTAGACCATCAATGTGTACTTACATTCACGAGTCATTAAATCATGTTTAATTTGGACTTCTCTGTGCATGCTCTTTGACGTGGACCCCCATACCTGCATTATATGACTGACAGAATTTTGTCACAATTGAAAATACTGTGGACACAAAACACCTATATCTTGGATGCCCTTGAGATAAGCTAAAACATATCAAAAATTAATTTCAAAGTGAACTATCCCTTTAACAAGGGAGCCGAAATAAAAACGGACACACCACACAGCTGAGACGCTTACACCACACAGCCAGTGTCCCCGGCCTTAAACCCTTCAAAATCATTCACCCTCCAGTACTGTATTCCGTTGCACCAAGTAAATGTTGCCGTCATTAGTTTGTTGTAGTGAGTACTCATCAATTGAATATGGGTGTCCCTCTTCGTCACGTAGCTGTGAAAACACTTGGGTGTAAAGATCTGAGAGCCGACATTTGATAATGGCTAGGTTTTGCTGAAACTCCAGTCTTTCTCTGGTTAAATGTTCTCTTTGAGCTCTAAGTTGTCCCAACTCGTGTTCTAAATGCACAATATTCTCCAACTTCCGTTTGCGGCAGTTCTGAGCTGCTACTTTGTTCTTGCCTCGTCTGCGAATGTCCTTCACGAGTGCCATCTGATTGTCGCTCAGTGTGAATTGGGTCAAAAGCTCGTTGAAGTCATCCACGGGTAGGTTCACAATCTTCTCCAGGGGGAATGGGATTTTTAGAGCGAGGGCTCGCCGCTCATCTCTGCTCAGGGGTACAGAAACACAGTTTGATTTTGGCTTTGGGTACGGAGCCTGATATGAACCTAACCTGGTTAAACCTGAGCTATTTAGCTGATCATGCAGTGCTGTGGGTAAAACTGCCAGTGGTTGGTAAGTCTGCTGGTTGATAGCTTGCATATTTGCAGCTGTGGGAAAAGATGCTCCAGGGTATGAGCTGTAGGGCTGCTGGTAGTCAGCAGACCCGAGCAGAGTAGGCCGCATGCGACACTGTTCCCCAATGCTTTCGAACTGACCTTCAGCATAGCCCATCGTACCATCTGCAGGTAAGTACGTAGGTACTCCATGCACCCCATTCTCAGGAGAAGCGAGCGGCGGGCTTGAACCAAGCGACAAACCGGAATCTGACTCCAGATCATCCGTGCAAACTTGTTTGATTTGTCCTGTGCCATGAAGGTTGATAACGCCGTCTTTCGCAAGCCCATGATTGCGTGTTGCCATGTTCATGTGCTCCAAGAGACTCATGAGTGGTGGATGAAGAGCTTGCGTATTCGCAAGCGTTCTGGGGGAACCGTGGCTGTAGTGCATATCCATGTGTGGGTTCAAACGCTGATAGGGTGGCATAATTTCTGGGTATGCGTTTTCATAAACACCATCATGATGGGCGTCACAAGCAGCTGGAATGGTTTCCGGCTGAGCTTGACTCATCCCGAACCCCCCTTGAGAAACCATGGGCTCCATTGAGAGGTATGGGATTGCTTCAAAGGGATTCTCATTGGGTACCTCAAACTCCTGTGACAAAAATAATGTTTTAATAACAAGAACTTCCAGTTGGTGATTCAAATCAAACTCTAGATTTCAGAAAACACTCTGGGAACCCAGTAAAGCGAAGGTCTGATCTCAGTAACAGTTGATTTGTGCTGCAGAGGAGGGTTGCATTCAGTCAGCTGCTCTCTACAGGACCGGCCCACCTGGGTGAATGTGCCACCCGTAGCTTATGCAGGTCTTACTTAGGAGTGCTCGGGTTTCATGTCGAAACAGATGGTCATTGTGCTATGCAGGGGGCTGTCGGCAATATACAGCAGTCACCCTCTTTCTCTGTCTGCCTTTATCCTCGCATCACTCAATTGGCCCATTGTTGCAGCTAAACTCAATGTGTGTTTATAGAGGATTCAGCATTAGAAAAATGCAATAAGGCCATCGTTTCACTACGGCAGCTTGCACTAACTCTAAAATGATTGGCTGTAGCCTACCTCAAAATAATCCGATATTTTCTTGAGTTGTGGTGTTTGTGCATGTAAAAGAGGAACCTGGTGGGGTGTTCCAGTGTACCGACCTGAAGATCTGTGATGGCCATCAGTTCCTGCCAGGCCAAGTCCATCTCCAAATGCTGGGGGGAACGATGTGCCCGGAATCCAGTGACATTGGTGGACATCGACACCTCCCCATGCAGTCTTCCTGGGTTTGCCAGTCCCTTGAAATTAAATGCAGTTTTTTGGAAAACTTGACATGGACTGTTGCACCATGCAAAATAAATAAATAAAATTAAACTTGTATTTTTGACATTTAAATATGTATTTCTCACTTAAAATATGTAAAAATCATTGGAACAAGATCAATTTAGACTGCACAAGACAACTTTTTCAGCACATGCATTTACATGCACACAATATGTGTAAACGAGTCAATGGTAAACAAGAAAGATAAGCAATATTTACTTTGATTAATTTTTCTCTCTTATTTTTTAAACTTGAACTCTAAAATCACTCTAAGGCTAAGCCATGCATTGTAATTTTTGTGTAAAAGTGTAGACCAATAAATAACCATATGCATATTTCAATGTCTTCAACGAAGCAACACTATTCTTTTGAATTAACTTTTCAATAGTACTTTTTTACATTATTCAAAATTACATTTTATGTCTGTATTTTGACTTTTTTTTTTAACTTTTTTTTTTTGAGTTTGAAGTAAAAATATTCTACTGCAGTAAGAGAAAATACACTTGTAAAATAGATTAAATTCTCATGAGTTTTATTTTGAATAATGTTTCTTAACTGAAACGACTAAAGTCATTTTTAGCAATGTATAAGCAGATTATTTTTTTAATTATTCCCGCTTTTTCTAGTTGGGAAAACAGCTGATTTATAGTATAATTTTCCTCATATAGATACTCACCTCACAGCTGATCCTCAGGGGAAATACACCGTTGATTGCTGAACACATTCAGGACAGACCCCTGATGCCGTGAATCAATCTAAAACATTAAAAGAAATCATTTTGAACATTTTTTTTTTGTATTTGTCGAACATGAAAGAGAATAGACACACGCTAGTAACGGGTAATATAGGTCAGTTGTGACCACATGTCAACAATCTTAAGAACTGAAACTCACTTGAGTACATTTCCATCCATCTAAACACCCGTAAACCGAGGATGATGTCACTCTGAACTTCAAAAATTAACCTTATATATATATATATTAAACTGTTTCCCTTCCCATGTCCCCCAAATGTCATGTTGTGTCATGGACATGAAGTTTCGTGGTGCTGGATTTGTCCTATCAGCTGGCTTTTCGAACAGTAATGTCAACCCTTGATAAGACAATCTTTCGGGAGCCAGCCTGTTCTCCAGTAAACGAAGGCAGGGGCCTAACCACAGACATCAGAATGTCAGGAAGACTTTCTCAGTACGCTACTTCATGTTGATAATAAATGAGCTGATGTATAGTGATATTTAATGTGCATTAGCATTCATTCCGGTTACCACTGTGTTCTTATCCTGTTTGTATGGTTGTGTGAAACAGATGCCTCATTATCTGGTGGTTGTCTTTTATTGGTGAAGCCTTTTTATACAAAACAACTGCTTGAAATGTTTATGGCGGGTTTCTGTTAAATTGGGCATATAATCTGGTGCGATAAAAACAATGCAACTTTGCATTCAGATGTCATTCTGCTATGTATCGCACATACGTTTTAACTGTAGCAATGAGAAAAACTGTTATGTTTCTATTCAATTGAACAATTTTACAAGAGTGAACATTTTGTATGAATGCTGGTTATTTTTTGCCAGAAACAATACCAATTTTAATCAATTTTGAAAGGTACAAGGTCAGGTACAAGTTTGACAGGAGGTGACGGCAATAATCTAATGGTTTTGTATTTCATGTGTGGTGAGATATTTAACAAAACACTTCTTTCCTTTTGACATTTTGAGGGTAAAAGACATATATCCTGCCTTTACCGCGGTGTCTAGCTTATTTCCTTTGACTAGTAGGGGACAGGGCTGTGGGACAGGCCTCCCAAGTTTCAACATCAGCTGTGGTACTAACTAACCACTAGCAGTGTACATGAGCTAATAGTAAGCAAGAAAGATGAAAAACAATATTTTCCTTAATTTAATACAATTTTCTCTCTCATTTTTGTAACATTACTCTAAACTACACATTACAACATTTGTGATCATCAAAAAGTGACTGGAGTGGTTCACGTCAAATGAAGATTGAAAAGAGTTTAGAGAAAGAAATAACCATGCACATATATTTTAAAGTCTTCTATGAAGCACTTTTTTTCAAAATAAACTTTTCAAAAGTTAATACTTCAATGTAAAATGATCTCATAGGCATACATATATATATATATATATATATATATATATATATATATATATATACACACACACACACACACACACACACATAATTTCTTTGACACTTTAATCAAGACATAATAATCAAGACAATTTCAAGTCGCAAAAAAGTAAACACTATTCTACTTTTTAAGCAAGAAAGTTAACACTCTTATGACAACAATTATGACTCAAAAAATGTCATTTAGAATTTGAAAGTAAACCAGAATTGCTCAATATCTGTCAACAACTGCCATATTTACTAGAAAAACTTCCCAATAAAGCCCTCAAAAAAGATGAAATAACAAACTGTACCTTATTAGCATTTCCTTAAGCACTGAGCTCAGATGAAAACGTCTTCACAACATCATATTATCCTGTGAGCAGAAACCAGTGACCCCTGTGTTAAACAGCAGAGTGAAAGAGTCCGCCGCATGCTCTTAGTTTTGAACTACAAGTGTGCATGCGCTCAACCTGTCTTTCTCTCTCATTCACTCTTTCTCCCACTCACCCTGTCTGCTTTTGGCTGTCACTCACACAAATGGGATGGGTCTATGGGCGATGCAAGCAGGTTTCCTGTAAAGCACCCACACTTTTTGTCCTCCTAAATGCAACACTTGCACTTTAATATGTTTAAAATACAGTACCCACAACAACTAAAAACAACAAAAAGCGGTTAAGCCACGGATATATATATATAAGCTCTCACTTGTGGACTTCCCAGACCAAATATAGATTTAGACCCTTCAGATTGTGGTTTATGGACAACGGATTCCCATCCACAGCTTAGGTGTGTACGTGTCCTAAAGTCTATCACTTCCTCAGTACAAGAACCATGTGTTTCATGGGGTGCAAAAATGACCTGAGGTGATCATGCACACCCATGTGAGGGATATGGTTTGAACACAGACACTATGAACAGGCGCACCTGGAGTTAAATCTGGGATTGCTGTGCGGAGGAGGGGCTGTTTTCTGACTTGCTTTAGTAGGGATGGAATGTACACCTTCAACAGGTAAGAAAGGCCACATTGTTCCTGTATCTGCCGCACAACCACAAACAGCCAGTGAAAGCGGGGGGGACGGGAGGGTGGAAGAGCGTGTCTTACATTGCAAGTGACCATTCGAGTCCTTGATGAAGTCCTTCCGAAATCACACACACGGGACAATCGGTAGGATTGTTCAGGCACAATCGTCAGGCGAGGTGAAAAGCTGTGTTTTCCTTGTTCATTTGAAGTGCTTAATTTTATTTGACCGATGCCTTATCAGGTTACACCCACCCTCGATAATACACCCCTTTAAGAGCATTCAGGTGCATGATGGTCCACGGTCATTAAGGACTGCCATTGGAGTGCTTGCGGTTGCACTTCTGGTCGAGAAACATATAAATAAACAATATTACTTTTATTGAATACATTTGTCTCTCTCTCTCTCTCTCTTATTTAAAGAAGTAATTCACTTTTAAAAAACGTTTGCTGATAATTTACTCACCCCCATGTCATCCAAGATGTCCAGGTCTTTCTTTCTTCAGTCGAAAAGAAATTCAGGTTTTTGATGAAAACATTCCAGGATTTTTCTCCATATAATGGACTTCAATGGGAACCAAACGGTTCAAGGTCCAAATGAGAGTTTCAGTGCAGCTTCAAAGGGCTTTAAAAGACACCAGACGATGAATTAGGGTCTTATCTAGGACCCTTTGAGTCATGACTCGAAAAAAGATTTGTTCATTTTGATGAACGAGTTCGAACAGGAGAGTCACGAAAGCACAGAACAGAGCAAGGCGAGCATTTGTGCTTATTAAACTTAAAACTTTTTTTATTTTAAATAAGCGATCGTTTCGGTAGATAAGAACCTTATTCATCGTCTGGTGTCGTTTAAAGCCCTTTGAAGCTGCAATGCAACTGTCTTTTGGACCTTGAACCGTTTGGTCCCCATTGAAATCCATTATATGGAGAAAAACCTGGAATGTTTTCATCTAAAACCTTAATTTCTTTTCAACTGAAGAAAGAAAGACATGGACATCTTGGATGACATGGGGGTGAGGAAATTATCAGCAAAAGTTTTTTTTAAAAGTGAACTACTCCTTTAAATATTACTCTAAACTATGCATTGCAAGTTTTGTGATAATCAAAAAAGCGTCTACTGAAAAACAAAGATTTTTAAATTACATTATCTCAATAAAATAACCCCATCAACATATGATAAAGCAAAACATGTAATATCTGTCAAATTGCATAGAATATATTTATAATGTAAAGACAAATTTATGCGTTGAGCTTCTGAAGCAAACATTTAATGTGTGCTTGGTTCTTAAAGTTCTCAATATTACACGATCATTCCGGTGACGCGCTCCACAATCATTAGAAACCAAAGACAGCCATGAAGAGAATTTCCAATAAAAAATGTCAACATATTAGAAGCTCGAAAGCGTGGTTGAGTAGCCTACTATGAACAAGAAAGCTATGACTAAAAACTGCTTATCAAGGCTTGTTAGAGCGTTGTGCCCGTGGTTTCATGATACTTGTTCAAGCTCGTCGTTTACAATGCGGTGTTTTCATTCCCACGCATTAATATGTTTGTATGTAAATGCACCATAATGATGGACGTAGGTGGCTGACATCGTCCAAAGAGGTGGGCGCATGCCAGGAACCAGAGAGACGGGACTTCCCAAGCCTTGATTCCTAGCACCCACCCACCCACCCGACTCCACCACCTACAAACACACACATGAAAACAGCCTGCTATTACATCCACCACAGTGGTTTGGGATTTGGCGTGTTCCAACCTAAACAGCCGTTCTGTCTCTCTCCACACATAGTTCAGGTCATCGAGTCGCTCGCACAGTTCAATATCTCACTGCTGTGTGACCTTGTCCTTTTCATCTATTTATTCTTGCTGTTCATTGTATATTTTAATGTGTTTTAATGTATTTCTGTATTCATTTGACCCTCTGTCACGTTGTGGCCTCGTGATGCTCTTGACCCTCTATGGTTTGACCACAGGAAGTGAAACAGCCCCATGACACCATCCTGACCCATCCAACTATTTCTATTCTTCCTGCTTCCTATATAGGTAAGAGGAAACTCATTGGATTTTTTTTGTTTTATTTTAAAGTTTCAGATTATATTTTTTCCTTAAAAAAAGAAGAAAGTTGATAAAAACTGGAGTTTCTAAGAGTAAGAGTAAGACATTCTATACAAGTAAAAATAAATAAATTATATATATATATATATATATATATATATATATATGAAGAGTTCAGATGCAAAAGCCTCTAAGTGCCATTTGAAATTTTCTTCTAAAATGATCATTTTAGATTATATATTTAAGTTCAGTAATTTCACTTAAATGACAATGATGATTACCTATGAATTGCCATTTAAGTGAAATTTCTGAACTTAAATATACAAGCTTGATAAAAATGATCATTCTAGAAAAAAATTTCAAATGGCACTTAGAGGCTTTTGCATCTGAACTCTTCATATATATATATATATATATATATATATATATATATATATATACATATAGCACTTTTAAATTATTTTATTGTGATTAATTGAATCTATCAAATATATATATATATTGGGTATATATATATATATATATATATATATATATATATATAACTTTTATGTTAGATGGGATTAATCATGATTTGATCGAACTGATAGCACTAATAAAATATAGGCCTGTGATAATTTTCTTTTTTCAACCTTTATATTTTTTATGTAATATAATAATATTTAGTGTATCTATATATTAATTTATATTTATTTATTTAAATTTGAACTACTGTGCAAAAGCTCAAGATTTAGATTTAATTTTTTAAAAAGAAAACTTTTATTTAGCGAGGACATTAAGTTGATCATACGTGTCAGTAAAGACATTCATAATGTTAGAAAAGCTTTATATTTCAAATATAAAGATAAAAAACATTTCAAAATATATTAACATAGAAAACAGGTATGTTCATTAGTAATAATATTTCACAATATTATAGCTTTTACTGTATTTTTAATCACATAATTGGAGTCTTTCGAAAACATTAAAAATAAATTTTGAACTAATTTTTCCTGTCCAAAAACACAACATTACTATCCGATTGTCATTAGCCACAAGTAAACATGAGAACACGTTTTCAATTACATGGAAAATCTTCCCGAGCTACTTATGATGAGAGCATTCATGTCTTTGGTTTGTGGTCCATTGGGAAAATTCATTCTGCTGCTGGGAAAAGTGGAAAATATGTGTATGAGTAATCAAGAGTAACGTAATTTCATCCAATGCAAAATATATATACTGCAACAGCTCTAAATAAATAGCATTCCCTTAAACCTCAAATAAAGTATATGTTTTTAATTCAACTCACAGTCCAGTGCGGACTAGTTTACTATACACAGATCCATATGCATGCCTGCAAATAGTCAGGATCAAAACATATGTTACTAAAGGATTTTATCATTTAAAACTGCAAATAAGCAGAAATATTGAAATATTTAAGGCCAAGAAAAGCTATAATGTCACCTGCAGAAATATTTAAGAATCCACGCTATAGGTCACTTATGCACATCAAATGAACAAATTTGGGACATTCACCATGTGAACTCCTGCTAGATGCATTTTTGAACCCCATGCTTCATTGTGCAATAGAGCTGGCCGGGTGAATTAAAGAATGCCACGATCATGTAAGCAGCTCCCCTCTACCCCCGTCTCATGCCAGAAACCACAACAGTTAGCATAAGCACCTAGACAAGCCTTTATCAGCGCTCAGCAGAGCTTCCGCCACCCAACATCCCCTTTCCCCCTGCTCTCCTCTCCTTCTGCAACCACAACTCTCACCACACCCAAGCACACACTGGGAACCGGTGGGATACAGAGCCACCGTCATGTCAGACACTCATCACAGGCCAGTATGATGATGATGAGAAGTTCAACAATGCCCTTCTGATACGGTGTGGAAAAGATGAGCGGACACGTACCATGCCGTGACCGCACAGATAAAGATCTTATTGTGAAAGACGTCCGATTATCTGAAGAGTTTTATCTCAAGCACTATTGGGACACAGTTATGCGCAATGATACTGTGGGCGCAGGTTCCTCATTTGGAGTCTGTCAGGTGTAACGATTGTTTGGTGACAAATAGGATTCTAAGATCATCTCTCTTGAAAATATTTCCACTATACATTTGACTACTGTAAAAAAAATATTTATGGTTTAACTTGGTTTAAAAAATAAGTAACCTAGCTGCCTTACAATTTTAAGTTCATTGAAATGGAAAAATTGAGTTAATACAATGAAGGAGATTAATTTAATCACCAGAAACTCAAAATATTATGTTATCTGAACTACATAAATTATCTAAGTTGATTTGACAAAAGAAAAAAATGTTGCGATTACAAATCATGAAAATATTTTTTTTTTACATGAGATGAACCATTAGAGCAGTGCTATTTAAGGAGTCAAAGACTTTATGTATCACTACTTAAGTCTTTATGTAAAAGACTTAAGTAGTGATTTAGAAATGATTCGATAATAATCAACTGCCGATCATTGTAGGCCTTATGAACGTATTAACACATGGATTGCAACAAGTACAACAAGCTCTAAATGGTTGCAACTATAAACACTCACAGATTTACTATAAACACACCAAAATGTTTGCTATACGTTTTAATATGTTTTTTAAAAAATCCAATTGACCTCCACAAATGCTACACTGAATATAGGCTGAAAATAAAAATATATATTGTTTTGGGAACAGCACCATGGTATGATCAAAAATGCATTATATATGTATTGCAATATTACAGATTTTTTTTTTCAAATATAAAAATATGTAATATTGCAAAATATTACCAATTAAAATAGCTTTATGGATATATATTTTAAAATATATTTTTAGATATAAAAATATTATGATGCAAAGCTGAATTGTCAGCATCATTACTTCAGTCTTCAGTGTCACATGATCCTTCATAAA